ATTATGTTTTCGGCTTAGGTACTCACGTAGTAATTCGACGAGGTAATTTATTTAGTATGTCTATTACGATTAATAATAATTTATTTAGTATGTCTTACGAAAGTTATAATACAATATTAGTTAACGTTAAAATATTGAGGTATTTTTTTAGAGTATTATTTCACGTAATAATATAATCACGTATTTTCAATATTTTCACGTAAGTTACTCGGGATTTTTAGTTCATTTAACTTTTACTTTCTTTGCGTTTTCTCTGAAGTAGTATAGATATTTTATTTAAGAGCTAATTTCCGCAACCTGTCCATTTATACCTGCACGCTAATTAAAGGCATTGTGCAGTAGGTACCCATTTAATTAATATTTCTAATACATTTATCTTCAAGATCAATCTTTATAGGTAGTTGTATACTATACTGTAAGTGGTATACTTCAAGGACATTCCTAAAAAAAATTTACTGGTATAAATTAACTATCATGACTCAAAATGATATAATGACTGACATACAATTCATTTATCACACATTTTAAGGCTTTACTGGTTCGATTCCCAGCTTAGTAACAAGTATTGTAACACATCTTACGACCACAACACTGACATAAGAACTGATAACAATAACGTAATACATCTTCAAACAAACAGTACCTAAGACTTAATAACAATGAACAATGACAATAGCACGCTATCCATTGCCTCTTTAACATTGGCAAAGAAAATTAGTCGTAGTACTTGGAAGTGAATGTACATTGCGCAATAGGAATGCGGTCGGAATTAATTGGCGTAATAGGAAGTGGTTGAGGTGTGGTTGTTATGCAAGTATGAGTACTTACATTACTTGCTTATTGTACTGAGTACTGATTGATATGAATGATCAAAATGATCTCTATGTTGACTGACTGGTCGGCTGATTTTGATAACCGATCTTCAAAAATTTTCGAAAATTCTATACACGCAGTTTTTACCATAAGCCTTATAGTAAAAACTCGGGCCCCGTGCCCAGGGCCCATATCCTGGCCCCATCCTCAGGGTGTCCAAAGGACCAACAATTTCTACGAGAGACACTCACAAATTCGATTAACGCACGGAAAAAATCTTTGTGTAATCCACAAATTGTGGTTTCAGGTCTGGGTGTATGTGAAATTGTGAACGCACCCACACAATTTCACATACACACATGTTTGTAAACGCACCCACAGTACAGGAGAAAATCCTAGTGTGGGACAATGTTAAATAAAGAAAAATTCCAAAAGGGCTCCAAATTATTTTGTGCCCATGGGTCCCAGCGTAGTCTAAGACGGCCCTGTATAGAAGTAAAGTCTATATATCTCAATTGAAATCTTTGAACTGACTTTAAGTGACAAGTAACTGGGCAATGTGGTGTTAGTTCAATTCCCACTAGAAACAAGGTTATTTTAAACGTTCCTTCATTTCAACTTCCCATAAGAAGACAAACCTATTGTTGAGCAACGATGTCTTTTAACCAAAAAGAAAATGAAAATGAAGGAAAATGAAAGTTGACTACTCTCATTTAACTAAATAAAAGGCCCTATAAATTTAAATGACAGAGGTGGCAGAGGTGCACATTACGGCACTTAATGCCGCTGTAGGTACAATGTAACACCCACTTATTACTATTTTATGTTATGAGTCACATGTGGTGGTGAGCCTATTGTCATATACCGAGCACATGTCCAGACACCGTGCTACTACTGAGATTTAAAAAAAAAACAGTTATACTTTGCCCGACCCGGGAATCGAACCCGAGACCTCTTGGCCGACTTGCGACCACTCGGCCAATGAGACAGTCATTGGCCGAGTTATTTAAAGTTAAGTTAGTGAAAGTATTAAAAATACATCATAATTGAATAATTATTTATTTTCAATGCAAAACGAAATTAAGAGCATTAACATGTAAAACTATTAAAATAAAGTTCACGAAACTAATTATAAGTATTGTAAATTCCTTGAAAGAACACGGATGTTGTAAAAACTGAACCGTTGCAAATTGTATCCTATAAAAAACTACTTAAGTTTCAACTTACATTGTCGATAAAGTGATCTACTAATTACTGTCAATTATAGTCTAGTAAACTTCGAGGACATATCTCATATCTATACCTACTATTAATAGAAAGAAAGATTCGGATGTTTGTTCGTGTTAGATAAACTCTAAAACTACGGGACCAATATTTTAAACATTCTGTCACAATTGAAAACATGTTTTTCAGTGAGTATTACATAATATATAACATAATATAACATCATGCCTTTTTATCCCCGAAGGGGTAGGCAGAGGTGAACTTTATGCCACTGTACAATCCAACACCCACTTTTCATTATTTATCTTTTTTATGGAATAGGAGGCAAACGAGCAGACGCATCACCTGATGGTAAGAGTTATGAGTCTATGTACTATTACATAGTATATGGCAATACACCCATAGGGGTGAACCTATAGTGTCCTGTAGTGCCCTGTAGTGCCCTCTAGTGCCCTGTATATGGTGCCATATACAGGGCATAATTCCACTCTAATATTAATCCAGAAATATGTACTCCTAAACTTCCTAAGGATGCTTCCACATCAGGCGCATACTGTGCGAATGCATAGCTGGGGAGCTGCGTGCGTGCATAAAAAAATATTATTTATACGAATTAGGCCCTTGCTCGTCGCGAGCTGCAGTAGTATCGACACAATCGGGAATAATATAATTTCTACACTTAGGTAAATATCGTAAGCTAACTGCCGCCCGTGACTTCGTACGCGCATCCCGCTGCCTTTTTTCATACCAACCTGACAATTACGAACACATAAAATAAAGAATTATTCAATTTGGTATCGTCGTTCTGAAGTTACATACTTACATTTCGGCGAATTTTTTTTATATAAGTAGATTAAATATAGGAAGCTAATCAATAATAAGGAACTATACACGACCTACTATCTAAGTATGTACTGAGTACCTGTGTAGTAATATAACGAATCTTGCGCACTTGACCTTCAGCGAGTACTCACACGTCAATGCGTACACGCATTTTACTTTTTACTCAAGACCTTGTACTTGTACGGCATACCTCCTATATGTATAAACTTATACTTGAAACTAAACCTTAACCCGTCTCTGTAAAGTTTGATTTCGTGTAATGGGACTTTGAAAACGACTAAGGTTCTAAATTAATTCTTATGTGGTACAACATAGAGTTTGATTTTCGTAGTGTACGTTATAAAATTGCAAAGCCTTCAGAAAGGAAATTTCATTGCGATTTAACCCAGTGTAATTAAAACAATTTGTAATGGGTTTTTTAATTATTTGTTATACTCATGTTTCGTGTACTTGAATCGAATGTATGTAGGAAAATTAACTTTAAATCTTTTTAGTTGGAAGTATAAAAATAGAGACTGAACCTAAATATACAAGAAAAACAATAATTAAGGGACTAAATGAGAATATAAATATTTCATATACTAACATGTAATTAACAGTACCTATACCTTACCGCTACGCTAACAAATGCTACGCTTTTGCGTAGCACTGTAGCGTATTGCTACGACATACCGTAGCATCTACGTTTCTATTAAAAAAAATAAGGAGAAGTAAATCTTCTATATAATTATGTATTTTGCAAATTACTATTAATGAAAAAGTGTTCTCTTTGACTTATAATTTTAAACCTTCTCACATTGACACCAAGGTTGAAAATTGATTTTAGGCTTCACCTCTATTCAAGTTCAAATTAATTGTAGTCTAAGCTGTCATTAAGAGCCTTTGTTTCAACGATTAGAAGGCTTTAGCACCTAATAACCAAATCACGAATGATTGACGTAGAAGGCATGGCTACGAATGTTTAAATATTCCGTAATTGCAATCTAAGTAGGAAATTAATTTGAATAATTACTGTAACAAGGTCATGTGTGCAAATTCCTAACATTGCAACATTGGTTTCCTATATGTACCAACCAGTGTAAATAGGATATGTAAGTAGAAGCGGTATACCTTTAGTTTATAAAGTCTAAATTGTTTTAAATGCAATAAAGATCTCGTCGAGTGTTATGTTCATACTATGAATAATATTTGATTCCAACCAGCGGTTAATAAGGTCATAGTAAAACTGTTTATAAAATTAAACGCAATAAGTAGATATAATATAGGCCAAAATATATATCTAAATCTAGTACTGTATTATTAGTTACTGATAGACAGACAAGTGTCTAGATTAAATTGTGGTATTTGTCTGCTTATACAGCCTAACAATAAACACTTAATAGCGCACGATTTTGAACTTTATACCTAGCACTTATCTAGTTTTGATCAAAACAACTTCGTTGAATTTGTTGATTTGAAGTTGTTGAAATCCTGATTTGAAGTTGAGGCAAAATGTCAGCTGTAAATAGCAGTTGTTTAGCTGTTGAAAGTGACGAGTAAATTATTGTAATCTATTCAAGGAATTACTTTCAAGGATGTTGGTCGACTCTTTAACTTGAGCACTTATATTTTAGGCACCATTTTTTTAAGTGTGAAAATCATCGAATGACTACCCCCGCCTGGGTGAGGCGGGAGGGAGTGTCAGACTCTTACTGACTAAAAACCACCCCGTTCCTTCTCCTGCCCTTCGAGCCGGAGCCCCGGTAACCCGTTAGGTTCTCCGCGACAATATTTTAGGCACCTTAGATTATCCTATAAATAGTCACTAAGAAACATAAATATCACAAGATAAGATATATTTAAGAAAGTGGAATCACCCTAAGTGTGATTTTGAAAACTGATGACAAAGCAATGCTACTGCAATTGCAATTTCTTCGTAGCTAGGAATCAATGCTGACTGCAACTAAACACAATTTTTTTTTATCAAATTTCCTAAATTGTTAATGATAGTAACAGTTTTGTAGAATTTAACTCAAAATTAAATAAAGAGCTACGGACGATCGCCACTTCTCTTCACTTACTCAAAACACTTTTCGATCATAGCTACTATCCTACCTAATAGCACTCTTCTCAAATTCCAGGACAAGCAGACAGGTGACTCGAAGACAGTCCAGGAGAGTCGAGATGGCGGCATCGTGACGGGGTACTACAGCTTCATCGACGCTGATGGGAAAACACGCACCGTTCACTACACAGCGGACGACAAGCTAGGGTTTAGAGCAAACGTGCAGAAAACTAATTAGGTTACAACCCTAGTCTAAAAATGGCGGTGGTACTTTATTTTATACAGATTTTTTTACTTGAACTTGAAAAGAAGAAAGTTGCGCCGTATGGCTTTATGTGAACAATGGATCTGTTGTTTGTAAATACTTTAAACGGTTAGATTCATATAATGATCGGGCAAAGAGTAACAATTTGTACTAGTAACTGAAGAGCCAATCTCTCGTCTTGTACCGAACCTCGTATAAATCCGAATTTCTGTGAGTTACATTCCTACCCTGAATTTTTTGTTACCGCCATAAGAATGTTACGTCATATTTTCAGTATATTTTTGTTAAAGACTATAAACAGAAGGTTGGAAGAAGAAGATAAAGTGCCATCGCTACCAACTACAGAACACCGAGGATAGGCTGCGTAGTACTACTATATTTTACTTTCTACCTCTAAAATTAGGACCATCTTCTCTATCGCCTTAGAATAGAAGTAACAAGAACTGACAATGTTCACATTTATAACTTCAACTTTGGCGCGGTTTCACGCGCTTTGCTCAGCTCCTATTGGTTACAGCGTAATGTTTTATAGCTATAGCATATAGCCTTCCTAGATAAATTCACTATCCAATACAAAACGAATTATTTAAATCAGACCAGTAGTTCGGGAGATAGCGCATTCAAACAAATAAACAAACGAACTCTTCAGCTTTATATAATAGTGACTTCAATTTAATACACTACAAATAATATTAGGTACAATGAAATGACCGAATGGTTACTGTTTATCTCCATTGAATTACCAATATAATCACTGCAGTCATTCGATTACGGAATCCTTTGTGTAACACGTGCCAACTGTTTTTAAACATTTCCGAGTATTGTGTTGTGTTAGTCAGGTAATGCATTTGTTCAATCGTTCGAAGGATATTGTGAGCCCTACTACAACTTACTGATAACTAATGTCATGTGCGTTAATCAAATACGAACGAGTAATATATTTTCCAAATGACAACTGTCAGGGTATGAAAATTAAAAATCTAATTAGTCCGTCAGTTACATAATAAAAAGCATTAGACACGTTGTTTTTTTCTCGTATAAAGCTAAAATACTTAGATAGGCGGTAACTTTAGGAATGGGAGGTCATTACGTCACACCGTACTACAAAATGTAGCACACTGTGACGTCACACGATGTTTCAAATTCATATATCGTCGAAAGTATTTAATTTTGTAAAAGAATAAAAAATACGCGTCTAAAGATTTAAATTAATCAATCTACCAGACAAACATTAAAATAAAATTTAGGAAACTACCCTACTTAATGATCGATGAACCTAAAACAATAGCATCTGAGCACGCTGCTCATGAAGAAGAGTCCCTCAATAACTCGAAATAAGTAGAGCTTTTCTTATAACTTCACGTGAGTAAATCGGAATTTTAATCAGTTTAGTAAATCTCACGATAGTTATTACATAATTATTAGCGTTCCTAGAGATTTATTGTATTTCAAAATAATTTCAATCTTGCATACATTTTTTTTTTTAATTTGATTTTTTTTAATCAGAGGGCTGATTCTATAATAAAGTAAGTACAAACAAAGAAGTGCAAAGTTGCAGAGAAATATAATCTTTACCACCATTAGTGGTAGTCTTACCGGTACCGGAAAGATACGAATTACTGCATAGGTGTTCTATAATTCTATCAATACATACCTATTATACTATGTATACTATTCACTTTTTCCAGATAAAAGGGACCATATATCGAACTACAAATCTTTTCGATAATTACGTTAAAAATACCACGAAAATAAAAATAAAAATCGAGCTAGTTCACTGCAGTCTATCCAGGTGTTCCCATGTAAATATTGTATTCTATTTTTAATACCTCATTTTTTACGTAAATTGATTTAATTTAAATAAAATGTCTGTGGAGTATTTTCTGTAAATGTGTGTTTCACTTTTTTCCTTAGCCCAGGACCCTTTTTTGAACTTATAGGTATTGATGATAAAATGCTTGATTGAAGACCTTGAATGATAGAATTTTCTGTGGAATGATAAGTATGGATCCCTTGTTTAACCACACTACGACACAAAATATGGCACGTGATATTTTTTAGTATCTGTTTAAGCCATTTAAACTTGATGTAAGTAGTTAGTCCCTCTTTAGTTGATAAATGGACTGACATAGTTGCTAAATGTTGACCCGTTATGTTATTAGCCCTACGTGTCAAAGGGTACAACAAACTTAATGCCTATTTAAATAATTAAACACTGTTGGTATCTGCAACTATTTAGGCGAACGCCTTGCACAACGCTCTAGCAATGTACAAAAAGGCCACTAACACAATACGCCTTTACGAATAATAATAGCAACATTTTTCTAGCCAACAAATTTAGGGATCCTAAAGTTTTAAGTACTTTTTCTCTCACCCTTCCTAATTATATGACATTTTTATGTATCATTTGTCTAAAAAGTTTGCCGAAACTACAATTTTAATTCCAATTACCAACTTAATTTCTGAATACAAACTTTAAAATCCCCAAATGAAGAAGAATCTATAACAATGTTTAACATCCTCCGGTCAGTACCTCCACCTTAGTCATCAAAAGGACCTGTCAAACTCGTTTAAAAAAAGTTAAAAGGATGTTTAAACGTATTACGGCTACCGATTCAAAGATTAGCCATTGTTATGGCTAATATTGTTAGTATAAGCTCCAAGGATTATTTGCCATTGATACTCTTTTTGTGGACCTCTACGGATTGTAAGCCCTCGGCCACAACATGTCCGTCACAGATACACATCTTTTGTGCCAGGTGACACTTGACAAGTTTCCTACTTAAATACGTTTTTATATTTATATTTTTTTTAGTTGTTATTGTAGTTTTTAAGTTGTGCAGATTTTTATGTGAAGCAACTTAATGAGCCTGAACAATAAGTAAATTCGGATATTTTATAGGTAAGTACTATTAACTTTAAATAAGTGTTAATACCTAACTGTAAATGTTTTTTTTAAAGGGATGATTATGACTGCTCCCGCCTGGGTGAAGTGGGAGGGAGTGTCAGACTCTTACTAACTAAAAACCACCCCGTTCCTTCTCCTGCACGTCGAGCCGGAGCCCCGGTTACCCGTTAGGTTCTCTATCAAGACAAGAATATTGATTGCGAGAAATAGAATTCATGATGAATTTATTTTTTAGTTAGTAGAAAAGCTTAGGGTCCGGCTTTATGGTCGAGTCAACGAGACGTTCATACGCTCAATACATTCACGTTTTAAAAAACAGAGGTCCTAGACAATGTTATTACGTCTTCATTAGACAAACGACAAGCTGGGGAATGCAGTACGTATAATCACACTTCTTCAGCTTTTCATATATCATTAATGCTAAACAATATTTTCTAACAATTTACTTAGAGATTAGCACTGAGTTATTAATAGAATCTACGCATTGTATTACTACAAACCATTAGATATATACGACTCATATATACTTAGAATTAGGAAATTATAATTGCCTGAATCACAAGAGGTAAATGATATAGGATGTATATATAAAACTACAGATATAGCTATTGGAATTAGGTAGCTATTTGCTACGTAGACGCCGGCGGCAAGATTAGTTCACAAACATAACAACCATATCTATTGTTCAAATCAAATGAAAATATCATCAATGCTACTATGATACGCGGACTTGATAGTGGTAATTGAAAATACACGTTAGAGTGAGCTGTGATTCCGTACATTTACTTAGAGTTTTGGTAAATTTCTCGAACCATAATCGCTGATTCCCAGAACAACAATTATACAGAATTCCACTACTTTGAGATCCCTAGCCCAGCACCTGTAATAATCATACGTATCGCCATCAACAACCAAGGGATGTCCAATATTACTTCATCAAGCCAAAACCCTCCACATCTTTGATCGTAGGTAGTAAGACCACCGCTTTCCGAACAGGGGGCTTACTCTTGAATCCAATTCCGATCGATCGACATTGGTATTGTGAAATTTCGTACTCTCGAGTTGTAATACTAGCGCCCATTGCATCCGTATTGCGAGTAAATTGAATGAACTAAATGGTATTTAGTTTATCTTTATATTCCGTACCCTGAATGCTTTTTTAACAGCTACGATAGGGCTATACAGTTTTGACATTGAATAATTATTGAGTTTTTATTGGATTGAAATTGCATTGACATGAGATTGGTTTCAAAAGTAAGCACCTGGTCCCTTTTTAGGACGAAACTACTAAAATAGCTACATATGTAAAAATACAGATATAAAATCTAAAGAAATGCAATCGCTAACAACAAAGCTGGGAATAGGTATAAAAAAACTAACGCGTACGTACGACACCACACCAACAAGCACAGTACAGTAATTAAACAGTTACCAAGGAATTCTAAAATAAAACGAACGTAAAATTGATTAATTGCTAATACATTATGATAGCGGTGGCAGTCGGTATCGCAGATAAACGGCTTACAACGACACAGTTATATTCGTCGCGATAGCTGCAATGATTTCTGATTAATCGTGTCATGGTTACGCAAGAAACGAGTATTTAACATTTTTTCAACATGTTTGTAAAACCTGACATTATTGGTAAAATCAATATGAAATCTGCTATAAACTTTAGTCTCCGAACAGCATAATCATTGTCTCGGTTTTGTATGAGATGACATATTTGGCGAAACACTTTTAAAGTTGTTGGCAACAACGAACTGAAAACTGCGATCTTTAAGACCGCAGTAGCTGTACCTAACATAAATAGGAGCAATTTAGATTTCTAATCAACAATTAAGAGTAAATTGGAGATATCAAAGATGATTTAAATCTACTTATGAGTTAACTTCAGAGAGTTCAGAAATGCGCTTGATATAAAAATCTTTTCGTCGTCAAGCACGCTGCTTTACACAAGATCTTAAATCTAAACACTCCATTACATGGAACTTATAACCAATTACAACCAAAAGAGGTGTGCTATCCATTCAACCACCACAATTGTTTGCTCACCACCTACGTTTAGCAAATATCTTAATTCCCTAAAGTGTATCCTATTCTCTGACGTTCTCACGTGCGATGTCCAGTGGTGTCCAGTTGTGCACGAAGGACAAAGGGTGTATATTGTATGTAAGACGTGGTACGTCGGAGGCGTCCCGGCGAGCTGTCACAACAACACGGGCTGTCGCGCGTCAGAGGATGGGCTGCGGCGCTCAAACTTGTGAAGGG